TGCCTTTCCCCGAAACCGCGAATGATCTTTACATTCGGCATTCATTTTATGATACGCAAATGTGCAATAAACTTTTGCGAGATTGTTGTCGTATTTTTTCTGCGAACGCGTTATTCGGTCTACGTTTGGTCTATTTTGGGCTGCTGTTTCCAGCCGCATGCAAAGAATTAAAACTTTAACGCACTTTCTCAAAGCAAATAAAGATAATGTTTCATGATCGGTAGGAAAGCTTTAAGAGATATATAATTTTCTCAACAATAGCCAACATTTCTTCTTTGTAATGGATAACGGTAATCTTGGGGGCATTTACGAACATTCATATCTGATTAGCTTATTTCTCTCCGTGCTCTTTCATATTGTGTTTCCGCTGTTCTCTTTTTCATGCCTAATGAAAATCTAAGATGAGATCAAATGTTTTGCTTCTAGTCAAAGATTCGCGTTCGTCGTTACTTTTTCCCCGCCGTTCTGACTGCGCAATCTAATGATTTAAATAAGCTATAATTTGACCGGCTGAACATACTAACAAACATTTCAAGCCTGAACCGACTCTAAAATGAAATTCTCTAGAACAATACGAGCGGTTTCATTGATGTTCAAGATAAACGGTCAAGCTCAACCTCTGCTAAAGCACACTCGGTTATTAATTGCTGCCGACACTAGAACTCAGATTAGAACACTATTTTTACAACCTACTTATTGAAATCAGCGATAAATGGAAATTTCAAATCCGTTACAGCCAAATTACCCTCCAAAAGTCATATTCGCAAATATCTCTCGCAACCAAATTGAAAATCATTATGGAAATCACTTTTGAAACCCTCACTACACTCTGAGGAATTCGTTTCATTACCAAGCTGACCAAATAATCTGTGTTCTAATCATTTCGTAGCTTTAATAACATGCTGATAGGATAATATAATAGTGTTTGCGAAATTATCGCCCTGGAATGTATTTTCGAACGAAATCCTCCACGAATTTTTGTTTTATTCAATTAACGTCCTTTCAACTTGACTTAATTGAAATGTATATGATGCATTCACTCATTTAAATATGACATGAATAATGCATAAACGTTTCTGGTTAGGTGGATGGGACAAGTAACTGCTCCTCTCTAATTCTAAGCGATGTGACGTAAAAGTGACCTTACTCATCAAACTTATCCTCAAAATCGCCGAACAACACAATTTTACTAATCAGTAGTGGTCATTGACCTAGAATTTAATATTCAGACAGACACACGGAAACGGCGGACCGACATTTTTGTCATTTGCGAACGCATTAACTATTTCTTAAACCTAATAAAGAATTGTGGTCTTTTGTTACTTAAAGATCCGATTTAAAAACACGGAATCGGTGATTTCTGCGTAACTCTTACTGTAATGTATCTCCTTTAAGATCTGAGCGTTAAATGAGATAGGCGGCTTTACACTGCCTTTGATAGGTAAGCCGAAGACACAAATACACACCACGAAAATTTTAAATCGTAGCCGGCTGAATAAAGTCAGCGATGAAATTCCGTCTTACAAATTAAAATTTGACGTTTGCATTCCTATTAATTTCGCTACGTTTTAAATTCCAACTTCACTCTCTAGTGGAAAATACTGATTAAAATAAATGAACTTAATATAAGGTTTTAAAAGCTTTTGCAGCGAGAAGATCTTCGTTGGATTATTTTGTAAGTGTTTTACGCCAGTAACGGTAACGGCAGTATTCTTACTAGAGTGAGTGGACTACAATACCTAAGTTGTTATAATGGTGTGGTTTATATGTTGTTTATATTCAATTAAAATGTATTGTTTTTAATCGCGACTGAGTAGTTATGAAATGTAATTAATAACTTAGGTAAAATCATCCAAATCGTTAAATATATCGTACGATCGATGATGATTTTTACTAGAGTTCGAGTAAGTTGAATTTGAAATAAATAACTACAACTCGCCGCTGACATTAATTCTTGTAAAGCAAAATTTTTACGTAAAAAGGAAGTTGTTCGTCCACGACCTGATTACAGAGCTGGGACCTCTAAAGGAAATTACTGGTTCCTATCTAAAAACCCTGTTATCATTAAAACAAACCGGAAGATATAAATTGTAAAGTTTTGTAGTGAACGGAAAGAAACGCGTGAGATCAATATAAAATGTTGGAAAGTCTGAAAAAATTCGAATTTAACGGTGACGAGTTTAATAAAACCTAATTACAAACCAAGTTTGCAAAGATAACTTCATTACTCAGGACTGGCAAAAATGAAGAAACGAGGGTAATCACAACTCAATCATTCCTAAAAAACAAGACAAGCCGTTGGGAGTGTTATTAAAGTTCCTTTGAAGATCGCATTTTTCATCATTCAGTCTCAGATTTTCAATGTAACGTTACGACAACGTACATGTTTGTTTATTTTTCATATCTCCTAATCGCGGAAACGTGACTACGAAAGAAAGTAAACAGTGTACAGAACATCATTGCCTTATATAGCTTCTGCTTTTAATGAATACTGTCGTAGTGATATTAGCGCGACGACAAACAACTTTCAAAATCAATAATTTTAAAGAACACCTTCATGCAGCTTCCTCTTGCGACCTCTTTGTAAAAATTATCTGCAAGCACGCTTCAACTATCATCAATAATAGCGAAACTTTTGTTAGCGCGACAATAATGAAATAAATTACATTATTTACGACACTCCTCTACGCGTTAAGTTCCGACGACGGACAAACCGCAGACAGACCCACGGAAATGTAAAATAACGCCGTGTCTACACTCCCTATCGCGCGCTAAGTAAAAAACGCCTGAAGGACGTCGAAAGTGGCAGTGAAAATAACTAATTTACTTTTACGGCGATGTTTTGTACAAAGCGCTGTAAGCAGAGTTGGCGGTTTGTGACGTTTAGGAAGAGTTAAAGGTTATGGATTCTTTGATTAAAAGTACTCCGATAGTTAAGACGATGCTTTAAATTAAAGTAATTTCGGTCGTTACTTCGTATTAAATAAAACGGTGCTCCGTAGGATAAATGTAGCATCCTCCTCCAAAATTAGCTGGAAAGTAAATTGCATGAAACGAATTATACCAAGGTAATGTTTCTTTGTGACTTGTTAGGTGTGTTTTGACGTATTAGATTCAGCCACCTTCATTACCATTGTTCCGCATAAAATTTACCTTCCATTTTTAACACAGCACGGTTTTAATGCGGCATCGTCGTGCTCAAAATTTTAGGGAGATGTTAAATTTATAACGGCGTCTCATTCTTACAAGGTATACTAACAACTTCATAGTTTTAAGTCCTGTACTAATTACTGTATAAAAACTACATAAAGCGAAAGGGCGCTTTCACTTATTCTAATAAAAATTAATTAAAATTCAAAAAATTTACATACGGTTAATACGGGTTTCAGCAGCTACGCTGTCCTACTTAATTCATTTACACTGTATAAACGAAAAATGTTTGTATAAAATACCACATCGGAAATGAACTCGACTATTTTTAAACAATGAGGGAAAGCGAATCGATATTCTCTGAAATGGAATAACAATGTTGTCTTTATTTTTGGTGTTATCGGCCTAAAGTTTTAATTTCTTTTCACGTAGCGTTTATTTTCTTTGCATGTGTCACCTCTTCCTACATAAATTTCACCCACCGACAAAATTTATATTTTACGTAGATCTCTGCACGACTAAATTGACTTTTTAGCAAAATACTCCTCTTTTTGAGACTCACATTCCATGAACCGAACCGTAATAACACTGCATACCTAAGTCGATTTTCACCGAGGTTGTAAAACAGTAATTTCATTCAAAACTACAATATACTGAAACCTTCCATACTGAAAAATAACTTTGAAGCGAAATATTCAATATGACTGCCACGTAAGCCGGCTGTCAGTCACCACGGCTAAAGGATTTCGTTATCCTTTGATACATCCTCTAGTTTTGGCGAAAAACAAAAGGACGATGGTTGATTTAAACTTAATATTATTTAAAATCGTCGCCCATTGTTATCGAAAAATCATTGTTCTACAAATAATAAACTCGTCTATGGTGTCAACCGGAAAATAGACGGTAAGTCATTACCAAAGTTGGTGAAGAGTAATGACCCGAAAATTGATCCCTGCAACACTCCGTTAATTTTTAATGGTGACACGTGAGCCATCTTTGTCGACATAGCTAAGAAACTTTGATGTTAAAGACTAACGATTTCTTTCATTGTTTCAGTTCTTAGTGTCAAAGGTGTTTAGCTGAATAAGCACAGACAATTTTCAAAATTTTGGCGAATTTTTGAAAAATTTTATGTACTACGATGTAACAAAAACAAAATGTTCTCTTACACCCTCTAGGATTCGATATACGTTTGATATTTTGTGAAATCATCTGAAGCGGACCATGATTTATTGCGTATTTGTTTAATCGATACTTTGTGGGGGTAACAAACATATTTACCCAATATTGCCAAATCTGTAAAATTTGCATGAATTGCAGAGGGGCGTTAATTGATTGAAGATGAGCTTATTCGGGCTATAAATACCGCAACTAAACACACACGTTGTTATTTTGAATATTTAAAAATGATTTATGTTCATTTATTTTTATACTTTGTAGCTAAAGGTCGTAGAATGTGTGGTGCACGTTTCCGCTTTAGTCTGTCTGTCGTCTGTCCATTGTGAAATTTAAGAGTGCGTTAAGATCATCGAAAATATTGCTTAAGTCAAAATGTGTCCGTTCCTCCATTCCAGAAAATTGATGACGTCATTGTAAAATATAACCTATTCGTTTAGCGTTAATTTAGTTTGTGTTTGCCTCATTAACTTACAAAGTTGCGTAGATGCTTATTTCGCGTTGACTTTGGCCAGGATCGGGCTTAAAATCCACCATATCCGAACCTGTCATCAATGAATCAGCCCACAATAAAAAAATTTAAATCGAAGACGGCTGGCGCGCGCATGCGTGCGCGTCGATCCCCGACGCACAAATAAAATCACTTCTTTTGCGGCTGCGCAGTGCGTGTCTTTATAGCCGGTGGTTTATCGTTTTGACATGTGATTGCAGTGGCCGCAGTTGGGGTGTTGCTGTTATTGACAAATTTTGAGGTTAGATTCCGCTGCGTCCAGGATGAGCAGTCCCGGGTTCGTCGATTCCGCCTGGAATTCGGCCGAAGACGTCCTCGACGATATCCTGAAACACGCCGAATACTGCGCAGATTGGCCCGACTATAAAAGTGCCCCAATGCCGGCAAGTCTTGTGTCGTATTACGATGGTGCAAACGCGGGTTCGAGTTCGAGTTCAGGGGCAGCTACGTACCAGAAGGAAAAAGATTGTAGTGAATCCGAAAAATGTGATAAAGGTAAAGAGTGGTTTTCAGAAAATGGAGGGAATGGCTCGGGGGGGACTTCTGGTGATGTATGAACGTCTGTATTTGAATTCAGTTGAAGAATTTATTGTTGTTGTAGGCGTTCAATCGAGCTCAAAGGCCAATGCCGGAGGGTAAAGAAACTAGAAAAAGAAGACACTTTCAGAAGCCGAAAAAAACGAAAGTGGTAGTTATGCATGGATAAAGTATCACTTGTTCTATTTATTTAATAACATCTTTGGATTAGTCAATGTCAATGGTTCTCAGTAGTCAAATATTCAGTACAGTGTTGACTGTACTTGAGCTTCGTAATCGCAGTATTATGTCTAATCAATGTCTAATTTTGTGTGACCTGATTACAGAGAATTTTAGATGTGTGTTAAGATTGTAGATCTCGTCTTATTCATCCCCGACAAGAATTCAATGACGTCACCTATTGTGGCTTTCGTTTATATAATGTTTTTCACTCTATGAATCAAATTTGTAGAGTGAATTAACAATTTGTTTCAGAATCTGTATAATGAAGTTACAGTTTTGAGAAGACAACATTTATTTATCTAGTCATATCTTTTCTAGTATATTTTTTTACAATAAGTGTTAAAAGTTTTTTATTTACTATATTCATGTATACGGAATGTGAAACTTTATAGAATGTAGTGTGTAGGTGAATAAGCTATTACTGATAGGTATTCATGTGAAAACATATATGCATGTACCTGTTTAACCTTTAAATCAACAAATAAAGTATAATCTATTATCAAAGAACTTTATTTGCCTGAAGTAAACACTATATTATCTGCGCGCGCATTCTACTGAGACACAACTAAAGTTAGTCTACTTAAATAAGTCATACATTTTATAAGAGGAGAACGTGTTCGTTTATTTTATAAAACTGAGACTTCCGAGTTATGTGGACTTAACAATTAGGTAAGTACGCACAGTAACGGATGAACATGAATAAGTCAGGGATTTTCATTATCCTCTCTTAAGCACGTAGAATTTTTCATATCCTTTTCAATCTTGTAAAACTTTATGCGGATAGGCATCGCGTCGAGAAAAAAACGAATAATAAATCACGTTTGATGTTTTCCTTAAAATGCTCTAATTACTCCTTTAACCTAGCACGATTGGAAAGTTCCCCTTTTGATTCATTATACAACCTCTTTCGAGGTCTCTTTATTCATTGACCTAATGAACTCGTCGATTTTGTTCAATCTGATCTTTTCAGTTAAAACAATTTAAAGCAAATTAGTGGCGAATGAAGTTGTTAATGAAACTTTTGAGTAGCAACTTCTGCGCTTAATTGAATTTATCAACCCCGTATTTTTTTATTCGGTTAAACAATTCCAGCAGACGCGTTTTCCGTACTGGAAAAAGTGCAAGCTAGCTAGGCGAAAGGTTATTCGAAATCGTCGATCGTGAGGTTCGGATCATTATGTGTCCAAACAGTAAATAAAAAGAATATACGTAATTTTTCAGTGTTCGCCGTTTTCTCTAAAACCGTGGAAGACACGAAGGCGATCAATCGAGGAGTTTTTCCCAGTTTTTAAAATCGTTACGCGCGATTGAATCGACTGACGTCATAGCCAACTAGAGCAGAAATTTAAAAAATCACCAGATATTTACATATATATAATTTCAAACTTTTTTTTTTTAGATGATTGTAACTCAATCAGATATAATTGACATTCTGTTCGTGTTTTCATAAGGAAGTGTTATGGCTCATTATGGTTTTTAAATAAAGATTTGCCGAACCTTTTTTTGATGTGCAGTCTTATTTCACGACGATATGCGTCGAAGTCATAAAATGTCCAGGTATCCGAGTCTTTCAAAGAAATGACCTGCGTCTATTGGGATTGGTTTCTTGGGAATTGAAGCATCTCACAATTCCACCAATGTCGCACTTTCGATTTTAACGTTCTTAAAAAACTACCTACTGACACGTAAAAATAAAACGGTTACGATATAAGAAGGAATATTTTTCTGACATAAAAACACATGGAGGATGATTGTTGACTAACTTTTATGTTTATTATTTATTTATTGGGTCTTCTGATGATGTATCGTAGGCAACGGCTCTTATTTGTCGAATGAAATATTAAACAACGATAGAATGGTGCCTTCTAGTAACTACATAAGTATTGTAATTAAAAAAATGTATATTTAACTGTTAAGTTCTAAAAATTACAAAAAGTAACCCTATACAAACATAATTTGACCTGTTCTGATTCAAAATTATCAAAAACCCTCAAGAAATAATTTATAATAAAACAGCGATTCGTTTTCTCCATAAACATTATATTACTACTGCGGATCTGTGCCGATTTTAGCGTAACAACAGCCGGTGTTTGTTTTGTCAGATGTTTCTGCGGTGTGTTTTCTCGTTTTTAGGACGATTTCAAGGGAGCAGTTCGTTCGGTAGTTCGGAGATTGTCTAATAAATTTCCAGACAGACGACAGCTAGTGGATGGACGGAAACAGGAAAACTACATTTTTGTATTCCACGATGTGTGAAAGTCGGTGAAAGCGCGAATGACACTCGTCAAAATGTGTTATTTCTGTGTTTTCCCGTAGCTGTCCCTCGGGAAACGAAAGGGAAGTCTGGGGCTTGTTAATACTTCTCTCACCTAACGCAGGAAAAATTCGTTTTTTAAAAAACTTTTAGAAGACCCAGGCGCCCGCACCAGAAGCATAAAATAATCAATCCATGTCAGCAATCTGCAGTGTACATACATAAAAGCATGATTTTTATAAAGGTCGGCTCCGCGGATCGGCGGAATTTTATGGAAAAGTGTCAGGTGTAACGCGAACTTGATATTTTTGTCACACTCTGTGCGAAGCAGTTAAAAAATAGGAATAAAAAGAAAACACAATTAAACTGAAAGTCGTAAAAAGTATTAGTTTTTTTTACTGACCGTTTTATTTTGCAAGAGTCCGATGCGACAGTCGATCATAACCGTAGAACCAACCCTCGCTGTAATGTTATGCGGTTCGGACCCTTCTTCGAAAAAAGGTCCCCAGCGAGAATCTGGTAAGTGGTAATGCGGTACGGGGAAACCGCGGCCCAAACTGTGGCGGACAGGTTCGGTGGCGATGGTCGTGGGGCGGGCAGCAGTTGTCGAAGTTGAAGCTGTGGGGGCGGCTGAGTGGGTGTTGAGGGCCACCGTGGTGCTGGGTGCGTTGGTCCAAAGGCGGGCCACGGCTGTCGGCTCGGCCCTCACTGACACCTCGGCTGACGCTAGGTAGGTCATCGTCACGTTCGTCGTCAGCGACTTAGCGCCTTCTGCAATGCGATTAAATTCAATTAAACTTTTTTTTGTTTAGAATTATTCGAGGATTCAAGGGGATGTTACATGAAAGTGTGATGTGGAGTGCAACTGATGTAATTTAACGTTTTGTTCGCAGCGTCTTTCATTTCGTGTTAATACGATAAAAAAGCTTGTTTCTTCCGCAGCGATAGCTACGGCGAGATGAGTAAGGAACGCAGACTACGTTTACCGAACAGATGGAGTTGTAAAACGTCTCACATTTCCCGTGATTATCTTTTAGTGAAAGCTACACTAACTAACTACGTGTAAATATAACGAACATAACGAGCGCAGTAACCTACTAAGAGCAGACAAAGTTCACGACTTTGTTAGGTGTACTGGTCAACGCACCAACTTGTGTTATTAATTAAAATTCCACACAGTACGGAATTATCTTCAACTAGTCTATGTACAAGCTCTGAATAAACTCGGCGGAGAATGTGAAGTTTTGTAGCGTAACTTAAACTTTTATGCTATAAAACGTGCATTCTCGTGTCAGAATATAGCTTTTCTAATATCCACAACCTTTCATGTTGTGCAGGCACAGATTTAATATACAAGGTATAGAATCAGGTGACAAAGTTTGAATAGACTGGAGTGGGACACTAATGAACCGTGATGGTTTAAAAAGGCGATGTAACGAATTGGGGTTATATGATGTTTTTAATTATCTCGGGGTACACGTTTCAACAACAGCTGCAACAGCCTTTAGCGCCATTTCGTTCTTTTGCCTTAGGAGACACGACAGCTTTGGCTTCACCGGCTAATTCACACTTAATCGTGGTTAAAATCGGACAGAAACTAAAAAGTAAAAATAAATAATACTGTGTGTTGAATAAATTTTTGAGAATGTCATGTAAGTGTTTAACTGTGCACGATCGACTACTTCGTCTTGCACATTTCAAATATATGTTAGGTCTGGGCTAACGAAAGCACGAACAGTGAATTTCGTTTCCTGATAGGGTTACATTTTTAATGCACTGTGGAACTGAATACTGTTATTCTAACATTGTTGGACAATTCTAAAGCATTTTGCAAGTTTTAATGGCACATCGAACAGAAAGTTGTCGCATTAATTCCGATATAATAATAATAATAATAATAGAAATAGTTTTCTCGAAAATTCCTAATCGTGCTCAATAGTGCCTCCGTAATACCTGAAAATACGTAGTAATCCCTTCTGAATGCCCGGTAATAATTGGGTGCGCTGATTTTAATGAGAAATGACGGGAATCTAATACGACGACGTAGAGACGTTGACGATAACGCTAGTCAGTTAGTTAGCGTCAATTTATAAAAATCAAATCACACAATAACGCCTTAATGGTGTATGAAAGTCAATCCGATTAGTGGAGTTCGGTCACATGAATGATCATTTTTACTAACCGGACCTTGTCGATTAAAATTCAGCGTAAGTTTGGACGTCTGTTTTCGAGCATTTTTTGCGCAGTTCGTGCCGCTGTACTTTCACCCCCGATTGATTTTCCTTTTTACGCCGACATACTTTTAAAATAAATTTTCCCTTTGCGTTGTTGTTTTGTAGGATTGCAAACAGCTTTATTGAGAATGAATACCGAGTTTGAAGTAGGCGTCGACACTGAACACAACGCAATATTTAATCAAGTTTTATGCTAAAAGATTTTACAATTAAATTTTTTAACAGCTCGCAAAATTCGAATTGGAAAAGTTTCAGGAAAAAATCTGCGATGTTTGTAAAATGAATCTTTTTGGAATATTTGAAAAGTTACAAATCAGCATAAAACTTCCTTTGATATTTAAATTCGACAGATACACTTGAAAGTAAGCGCTCTGATTTCATAGAGGACTGTTTAACTCTGTTCCAACGAAAACACGTGTATTTGTGCGTAAAATATTCGTCTTTTTGAAAGTTTGGCTGAAACGACAATGAAACGCAAACGCGGTTGAGATCGTTTATCACAACTTAAGGGTGTCAATAAAATAAACAAATGTGTCTCAGATTGGTGAAAATATTCTTTCCAGTTGGTTAAATGTGTAACTGTTGGGCTAAATGAAGATTGTGTCGGGGGAACTGTTTTCCGGTCGCATTGAGATAACGTGATACTGTCGTGTGTACTTTTATTAAAAGGGTAGATTTATGTGGCATTTATGTAAACCGAGTTGTCTCAATTTTATTTAAAGTTGTGGCAGAACGGCCAAAGCAGAAATTGATTTTCATAAAAACCATAAAATTAAGCAGCAATAAATGAACCTGCTGTGACCCTACAATACAACGTAGAAGCGCTATATCACTGTCATAAATCTCACTATATAGTTTTATATCACCGTCTCAGTATCATTTGACATTATTACACATTATAACGCCACTTTTAATTCTAATTTAGGTATTTATTTTACATTCGTTATACCCGGAAGGCGACGCTGTCACTCCCATAACCGGATGGATAATTTTACCACAAAACGTATTTATTTTATGATCGCCCGAAGGATTAATTTTATTTGATAATACCGTATTGTGAATTAAACAAAGACACCAATTACTCTGTTTTTACATTCAGATGGTCCGATTGAAAATTCCTAAAGGAAAAGCTCTGAGGTGGAAAGTCAATTAGGTTCACCTTGTCGATGCGGATAGCCTGAATTTTTTGTAACTGATAGGTCATCAAGTTCCGGTAATGAAATACCCTTTGTTTTGGGCATTTCCGGCGAAAACATTAATTGAATTAGGAGTAGGCGGTTCACGATGCTACTTTCAGTGAGGAGTTAAAACACAGTGAATACAAGAGTATGGAATCGACTGTGAATAACACAGTTTGTTGATCATAAAAAGCCGCAAATACTTTATTAAAACAGACTCCGGCGTGGAAATCAATTAGCATGGGTAAATAAAAATTTCTGATTTTCAAACGTTAGTTAAGGTCAATAAACTGTACACTTTGCCAAGTTTATAGATTATGGATACTACAAAAAAAGGCAAGGGTGAAAGGTGGTAGTAACGCTGAAAGGTCACTAGAGAATAAATATGTATAACCAAAACATCTGAAAATACTGACATTATATTTAGTGTTACATTGTACGCATTACATTTCTTAGAAAATTCTTCATTACATTTTTATTGATTACGCACCACATGCATGCCGTATTTGTGGTTTTGTGTAAATAACTTTATAGATTTTTGTGTTATGAGAAGGGGGAGGAAATCACGGTTAAGCGAGGAATGGGTAAATGCGTAAAATGATTAATAAGAGAGAGACGGAGAGAGAGCAGCAGCCAGGCATGACAAAGACAGAGAAGGCTGCAATTACAACTCTTGTCCTATTTTATATTATATTATTGTTGTTAAGAATTTTTTGCTTTGGAGAGTAGCGACGAATAGAATAATTACACAAAGTAAATTGTGTCTCTTTATTTGAGTTACATATAGACCTGGTGTAGTTCACTGTGCATACAATGTCTTTTAATATCGTTAATGTATTTGCAAATCGATAAGTTTTTAATGTCACAGCTGTCTGTGGCAGGACATAAAATTTTACGAGATGTATTACAATGGTTTTCGCATTGGAACCAACGTCAAAAAGTAAAATGAGAATTTTTCACACATGCCTTGTTACAATTAGTCCTGACATGAAAGTGCTTTTAAAATCTATTATTTTGTAATGCAAGATTTTTACCTTTGTCGAACATAAATACAGCATTCCACTTTATTAAGTAAAATCGTCGGGGCTAATTCGTCGATACAAGCCGGATCAGTACTAGGGTATAATTTTACATCAATTCTAACTTTAGAGAAATTTTAAACAAACATTTACTTCGAGGGGAAACTTCCAATTAAAAAGGACGAAATTAAACTCTGGACCAATTCCTTAAAAGCCACCTTTGAACTTTCGCAATTAAAGATTGTAGTATTGTTCTCAGTTATTCGAAAACCTTTGCTAACATCCCGACACATTAAACAGATTAAGCCACGAAGAGAGACTAATAAATATACAAAAGGATTTTGTTAACTACTTGTGTTGTTTTTATTGTTTTGTAGTAGCGCCACGAGAGAACACTTCGATTTACATAGAAAATTAAATATTCACAAGTTTCAACTTTTTGAGGTTTCATGCAGTTTATATTCAGTTGCAGTTCCTGCAGAAAATTAGCTCCGCTTAAAATAATACATAACAATACTTTATTAACTGTTCACGTGTATACTTACTGTATACGTGATAAATACCTCAGAGTATTAATTATTGCAAATGGTGGCCAAGGGACTATTTTGGATTCAGTGGCAGTTCGTTAAGTTCGTAGCGCACAAAGAAAAGTGGAAGCAAATACTTTCTTGCTTTAATTATATAGTGGTACTAAGTTCATGATTAAATCACCACGCAATGCCATAAAATTTCATATATTATTTGAATTTTCTACTCTTTGTAAAAACGGAACTAACACTTATTTCAGTTTCAATATTCGAAAAAGGCTGCAGATAATCGCAGTAAAAAGTTAACGGGGTGAGATATGAACGCCCACAAAATGTTCATAGACAATAACTAGTTTATGGTGTCATGGGACTACACGTCCATGTTTTTATTGCAGTATTCACGTCGTTTTGGTCTTTGTTAAAGCTGATTAACAACGGTCGCAGTAAACAATGTCATAAGTAGCTTATTTTTGCGATGTTTACACAGAACATCCTAAAAGAATCGAAAAAGTAAATAATTATTACCGCCACCAATAAAAAAATGAAATAATAGAGACATCCGTTTTAAAATCTTATTTTTCTGTTTTACAGCGTTCTGACATTCTCCACCGAGAGCTTGCAGATAACCACAAAGCCCCTGTAACGGGGACCTGTTTGTTTTATTAGCAGAAGCGTTGAGGTTTCGTTAAACTTTCACTAACTTTGCGTCCCATGCATAATCTTCTTGTTCCAACAATGTGACAATTGTGGTATCGAGGTTTGCTTTACACTTTCAACTTCTCAAACTATCGCAAATGCATTCGATTTTTCTTA